ACACTTGTGAAGGTGACCGGAGACTCTCCGGTATACTTCGCACTGGTGAATCAGTGAAGACAACCGGAAGAGCAATCTCCCGGGGCTCGATCCAAGGATAGCGCCATGGCTAGCCGCCAGCCACTCTGCTGTGCCGTTTGAGCATGGCGAAGGAGAAGATGATTACCTCCTTCAAGGTAATGAACCCTATGCAACAAACCATCGAGATCTCCAAGAATTACACCGGCTTTCAGCATTCCAGCAGGTGACCACAAAAGTACCGCCATCATATGATGGGCGAGGAAGTTGGTTCGCCTATGAAGATGCGATCGATGACTGGTGTGACATCGCCTGGCTAGGCAATGGCAAGAGAGGACCAGCATTGCGAAACCGTCTTGAAGGTGAAGCTGCAATCCACAAGTGGCTCCTGGACAGAGATCGCCTGAAGGACCCGAACAACGGAGTGAACTACTTCAAGAGTTTCCTGCGGCCGCTCTTCGTGAAGAGCGCAGCCAATGTGTTTGTCTACCGCTTCCAGCAGTTCATGAAATTGCACCGCGGCAATGGAGATATGCTGCGTTGAATTACCAGGTTTCAACTATCTGTTCCCAATGAGAGGCTCAGAGATCAGCACGCGAGGACGATTCCGATCACGGCCAACAGCCCTCATCTTTGTGTTGTGTCCTTGTCCGACCTCACACAGGATCAACGACAGGTTTTGACACGCGCATCGGAACCGTGTGCTGGCCGACTACCGCCTTAACGAGCTCCGTGAAGTTTACCTCGAGGTGTTCTGCACAACAACGACTACCGTCGACAATCCTCTCCTTGCGCCCTCAGGTCATGGTGGCCGGAAGACCTTCCTGGCGATTGATGAAGGCTATCTGGATAACCACGAAGGCTACTGGGTCGTGGATGAAGAGGGTGGCACAGAAGGTTTTCTCGAAGCCGATGACGACACCTTCTGGGTCTACGACGAGGAGAACTACACATGGTTCCCGCGAGGATTCCAAGGAAGGAAAATGAGAAGAGGAGCTTCAACATGAAAAAGAGAAGACAGGAAAGGGCACTTTCTTTCGTCGTCGCAAGGGACGAGCACGTCTTACAGATGATCAACAAACAGACGCCTGGCAAGCAGAAAGACAATGGTACAACTGGTACGACAGTCAATGGTAAGATTTAGCATGGAATGATTGGTCCTGGTACGAGTCGGAGGAGTCCTTTGCGGCCAAAGGCACAGGAAGAAAGGTAAGAAGAGCAAAGGAAAGACAAGTATGGAAAAGAAGGAAAAAATGGAAAAGAATCCAAGAATAACCTTCTTTGTTAACTTTTTTGCTTATAGCCACAGAGGAGAAGCAAGCTTTATCGCACAGCCCTTGACGCCAGGTTTGTGGGTAATTAGAGTTGGAAAAGTAAAGAGAAAATGGCTTTAACGCACAGGCTTCCAAGAGTTTGCAAAGCTCGGTTTTGAAGTTTCATATTTTGTGCAGATGTGTGGTTGCATCTTTAGATTGATGCCTTGGTTTTTGTCTTCTATGGACGAGAGAAAATTGAATTCGATGTCTAAAAACAATTATCTTTGGACTTTTTGGAGTTTGGGTTGGAAGTTTAGAAACAGCTTGCCAATTTTGAAAAAACTGAGATGTAGATTGCGGTGGCAATGACAAAACAGAGCCTGTTTTTCGGAAGTTGAAAACAGGCTTGAAAACGTTGCTGCGGACAAGAACCTCCAAAGTACTTACTTACGTACAATTACATACATGCATGCAAACACCTAAATTACCAGCCGACGGAATATCGGTAACGTTAAAGATTATGGAAGCTACAACAACAACCAAAAAGCGCACTTTCACAGCGACTCGGTCTCTTCTCTAACGGGGCTGGGCCCCAGACCTTCGA